TAGTGAACTAAGCCTCAGGTCAAGTCCTGGCCTTAAGGGCCTTCCTGGGACAAGAACTGTATTTCATTGATTTGAGTCCAGAAACACAAGATTAAGTTCATCCAGAGACTTTCTAAGTGTCCTGCACTGATCAATTGAAAGAACACTCTCTTTTTCTATTATCATTACTATTTTACAAATGTTTTGATAAATCAAAGTGTGTTTAGTTCAAACCATTTTAAATGTTGAAGTGAACTACTCGTTTTGAATCAACTGTGAAACAGTATTAGTATCATTCAAAGTGGAAATCAAGTTAGAATGTGTTACAGAGTAATGATTCAATTTCTTGATCTTCTGTCTGAAATGAGCAAGTTGTGTAAGTTGGTCAAAGGTCAAGTTTCGGTCAACTGCAAGTTTACTGGAAAGAAATGTCATGTTTAACTTTTACAGAAAGATATGAGAGAACTGACTCCACGAAGTCTGGGTTCTTCATAACAATCTTCTGTCTGTTCTTAAACAAACAATCTTTTTCCTTGACTTTTAATAACCTCTTACATCACAAAAACACACCTCTGTTTGGTCAATCGACCAATCAGAATGTTCTCAAATGAACCGGAAATAGAACTCTTTAAATGTCGGCACTTCCTAGTTCAAACCAGAGCTAGTGGAGTCGAGCGCAGTCGAGTTCGGTTCGGAGAGCAAACCGAACAGAGAAGTGCTGGAGAGAACAGGAGTTCCAGACATGATCTGGAGTTCTTCCGAGTCTCGTGGGAATTATGCAATCTTCCACATCTGAGTGGAACTCTGACGGACTTACTCCTCTTGTGAGTCCACCGAGAGGTGAACCTGTGTCGGACGGAATACCGGCACTACTTCGGACGATTCACAGCTGTTCCTACGGAGACGCTGAAAGGGTGCGTTAAATGGAACTCCGTACCAGTGGAGACACCTGCTACAGGTAAAGAGTTGATTTACACCACCTAAGTGTACCGAGGAGGAAGCTGGGATCTCAACGGAGCGTGCCGTCCTGATACTGACACATTTCCCTCATCCATCTTTTCCTCTCCATTTAAACTTCATTTCCATCTTTAAACTTCTATATCTTGCCAGAAATCATTCCAGATATTTTCAGAAATGTCTGTTGTGAAGCAAAGGAAAACCATGGCCGTATGGTTTTCCTGACTGTAAAGCTTGCTAATTAATTAAGCTGTTATTGTACTCAAATTTGCCAAATTAATGTAAATGTTTGATGTTAAACTTTGATTCTGTTAATAAATGACGCATTCATTTGATGGGTCAAAGAAAATTAACGTCTCACGTTACATTTTAATTATTCAATGCACGATATTATTCAGTCCAGAAAAATTAATGAATCCGTTTAATTTATGAATATATCAATGTATATGTTCTCTACAATAATGAAATATGTAAAAAAAAAAATCATACTTCAACAAATAAGATAAGACAGAACTTTATTGATCCCGCAGGAAATAGTTGCATGAGTTCAGTTTGGAGTAATAATATGTTTATCACTGAGATAATCTCACATGGGCAGAAAAGCAAAAAAGCTTAGATTTATTCAGGTAAGGTTTCATAAAGAATTGACCATTTAAAGTGGATTACATAGACTAGGTTTCATCAAATTATACAGAGCAACGGTGATAAAACAGACTTGGTGAACTCTGAAAAATATATACTACAAAATATAGATAAAAATATAACAAATTAAACATATCTCTTATTATTTAATAGATATTTAATAATTTATTTTAATAGTTTTATGATTTTCCTTATTTTCTTATTTTTATTGTTTGAAAAATTGTTTTCACATATTTTGTATGAAGTCCTCTTATTTGCTTTTTTAATGAGCTCAGAATAAATGAGGCCACTACCTCAACATACTCCTGAGTTTAAAATAAATAAATTACTTTGATGTCTTGCATTCTTTATGCAGCTTTGATTTGCATACACTGCTTTTTTTTTTAGGTTACCTGACACATTAGGCGTATTTGCACAAAGTATCAGTATCAATACAAACGATACCGAAACAAATTTTACCCGGTATCGTATCGGGCCAGAAAATCCTGGTATCGAACAACATTAGTTTGAATAGGTTATTGTGATATATAATTAAATCCTCCCACATGTGGGGGTAGTTCTTATGATTGGCTGAAACAAGGAAAACATCTAATTGGTTGCAGATCATTCCCGGATTTAAAAAAAATGCACGTGCGAGTTGAGCCAAGTCAGGGGTCTCAAAGCTCACATACAAATGCAATGAAGTTCACAGAGCACCAGCACTTGGCAAATCTAGATATATTCGTGTGTGCATCAGAAATACATGTTTGAATCTAGTCCTGTGCATGTGTGAACCGTTTTGTGCATGAGTGAAACTCTGTGCAGGTGTGAAATTTCCTGTGCACGTGTGAGTCGTTTTGAGACCCATTGAGCTCCACATTTATCAGCCTTTAAGCATTGTTTTGTATTTTGATTCAGTTTTATGAGCCCTTGTTAGGTCAGTAAATGCAATAACCATCTAGACAATTTAGTACTGCAAGACATTGATATTCGGTGTTCTGTTGTATGTTTTCGGTTCTAATGGCTCACTGCATGGACATCGCAAAACGCTTTCTGCGCCAGAGCTTGAGACTGAAACTACACAGTGTCTGAGTCAGAACAACTCAGCTGCCATTGTAACTTACCTGTTACTTGAGGAAGAAAAGTTCACGAAAGAGATCCTTTTATCTTCACGTACCTGCACACCTCCATCGTTGCACCAAAAGTGAAAGCATGACAGGATTTTTATGTACAGTATATGAATGTTTATGTTCAGTGCCCTGAGATGACTTCTGTGTGACTTGGTGCTATATAAGTAAACTGAATTGAACAATGAATACCTGTTGTAAATGTTTCTGTCTCAGTTTAGATAAATTATTTAATTCTGTTCAGATCAATAAGCTAATGGCTAGTCAGAGCGAGGCTTAGATCAAACCAACTCCAATTGTTTTGTTTTTTTTATCAGCTCATACAAACAGTAATTTTAAACCTCTGTTGTCATCAGTTTCTTTTTCCAAGCATACTCCAGTAGAATCATGATTTCCCTACAGGAAGTGCTACAGCTAGCTGCCACTCCTCTGAACAATTAGTAACCCTGTAAAATAGAACTGATAGCGATGTGGAGGTTCATGTTGTTTTATGATGATGCTCATGTTCTTTGGTCCTGGCTGCGTTTGGCCCATTAGCTTGCGGGTGCTAAGCTAATTGTCGCTAATGTGTGCTTTCTAATTAGGCGAGTTGTTTGAGCTCTTCAGATGCTCTGCTACTTGTTCTTCTTGCCTGTGACCTTCTTCCTCCTTATCTTCCTTCTCTTCTCTTTCACCTCGTTTCCTGTTTTTTCATCTCTCATTCGCTGATTTAATTTTGTTTTCTTTGCTCCCCTGCATGCTTCCTGCAAACATCCCTCCATCTCCCCCATCATTCTCCATCCCTCCCTCCTCCCCACTCTGACTGAACTGGTAACAGAGGCCACACCCACTCAGTATGGCCCCGCTCTTTCACCTCACCCTGCTTCTGCTTTTCCTGCTCCTTCTGGCACCCCTTTGACTTACTCCTACTCCTCTGATCCCCCACCAGTGTCTCCCAGCCCAGGCGTTGCACTCCCCTCTGCCCCCCGTGACCTGGTCCCTGTCCTAGTGTCCAGCCGCTTCGTCCGACTCAGCTGGTGGCCCCCAGAAGAGACTGGAGGAGGCGTACAGACCTACGGCATCTATTACTCCCAGGATGGGGTAGAGAGGTAAAACTTTGTTCATTTCTTCTTCAGACTGCTTCAAAGTTGTTTAAATTTCTTTACTCACAACAACAAAAACTAGGAGAAGTGGTCTACATCAGGACCGAACTCTGATCAGATTGGACTGTAGGTTTTTTGTGTGGTACATTTTTTACTTTTATCTGAGTGTAAATTTAAACAAAATAAACTACTGGGAGGTGTAATCTGTTCACCTACTGTAACTTTAGCTTTATTTCTGCAGACAAGACTGGAAAACTTTTTTGTTTAATTCAAAACGTATAAGCCCAACTTTATATACTGTATGAACATTAATAAACCATTTCACAGAAAACCTTGTCTACTTTCAGTCAACTTACAGCAGTCCCTCGCTAATTCGCGGTTCGACTTTTGCGGTCTCACTCTATCGCAGTTTGTGGATGTACAGTGTTGTACATAACATTTTCCAAAAAAAAATTTAAAAACCACCACTATTTTGTAATTTTCTTTCATTAAGTGTAGCCCGCAGAATCCTGGCCTGATGATGTTGATCTTCTGTGCTGGGCCATCCTTTTGGCCAGGGGCTGTTTAGTTTCCCCGATGTAAGACTGATCACAGCCCTCCTGACACTGAACAACATACACAATATTACTCTGTTTGTGCCGGGGGACTGGATCTGCGACTGTGACTGTGGTCTACACTCATCTCCAGGCCAGCGGTCACTCTTTCAGGCATGAAGATGTTCACATCCTGGATAGAGAGGAACGATGGTTTGAGAGAGGAGAACAGGAGGCCATCTTTGTGAAAAGAAATCGTCCATCATTAAACAGGGGTGGAGCCTCCGGGTTCAACTGTCACCCTCTTACAATGCTGTGATTGCTAGCATCACTCAGCCCTCTGTGAATAGTAAACAGCCATCAGTAGCTAGATCATTAGCACATGATCCATCGTTAAGCTGATGGTCCTTCTTGATCATGTGAGCAGTTGGTTTTGGTTGTCAGCAGCAAACTGGTTGATCCACTCTGAGAAGGTGCTATTTAAGAGACTGAGCTGAATACAGCACCTCAGACTGAGGAAGTCTTTCGAATGAAAGACGAAACGTATCTACATTTTTTTTGTTTTGTTTTTTTGAAGGTCCAGAGGACCAGATTGAACTTTTTTAGATTTTTCTACCTGTATTATTGAGCATGCATCAGGATATACAGTAAGTACTAGTCTATGGGAACTCTTTGTATTTCAATGCAACTTAAATGTCCTCATGGGAATAAACATAACTAAGACCTGGTTGATAATTAGCAATGAAACTGTACAGCCTAAATGCACGTAAAATAGCTATCACATCTACCAATACTTAAATCAACATAAAGTATACATCACACAACAATGTACAGCACTGCAGTTGGAAAATGTAAGCCACAGACATGAACTACATCATATACACAGGCCTAGGACTCTAGGCCTCAAATAATGCTAAGGGACATCTCCTTCCGGGTTGAGTGGACGATGGCGCGCCTTGCTGCCGCGCCTTGCTGCCGCGCCTTGCTGCCGCGCCTTGCTGCCGCGCCTTGCTGTCGCGCCTTGCTGTCGCGCCTTGCTGTCGCGCCTTGCTGCCGCGCCTTGTTGCTCGTCAGTAAACTTTTATAGGCATATAAACCGGCTTTATAACCTCATTTGACCCCTCTGCCTCACAATGTGGATTGGTCATTTTTACATCTGGTTTTTGCTTGCATGGACGTACCTGTCACTCTTCATTGAACCTGTGTCAGGTCTTTTACAATATTCGGCCAATGAGCTTCTTCAGCTGCATTGGCACCTGTCCATTTCTCAACTTGTGATGCTCCGTCTCCATCCGGACATCGTTTTCCTGCCCCGCCGGAGATGCATTCACCGTGGGTCTCGACAGAACTTACAGCTCAACAGGTCAAAACCCATCCACTTCTTCTCCTTCATCTCCTCCTTCATCAACCATCGACCTGCCAGGAAAGCCACCTGGTCTCCAAATCTCATCATGTTAGCCAACCTAGCTAGGTCAGCTAATCCATCTGCTAACTCCACCTCTGTCAGCTTTGGTCTGCTCAATATCCGTTCTCTCACGAACAAAGGACATCGCTTCCAGGACCTCCTCACTGACCATAAGCTTGACTTTCTCTGTTTGAGTGAAACTTGGCAACAACCTCTGGACTTTTCACAACTCAATGACTCCACTCCACCTGGCTCTCAACCCCGCAGTTCCAGTCGCGGGGTTGGTCTCGCAATGGATTATTGTGAGAACTGGAAAGTTTTACCTGTGTGTGTTTGCCTGCTGTTAGCTTATTTGAGAGCATCGTGTGTAAACTGTCTGCCCCCACTCCCACCATCATTGCCTCAGTTTACCCCCCCCCCCCCCCCCAAGACTGCACAAAGTTTTTTAAAATTCTTTTCCACCTTTCTTTCCCAACTGTCAGCTATGTCACCTAATATTATTTTATTGGGAGATTTTAACATTCATACTGACAATCTTAACCTCCCACTCACCAATGATTTTTTTATCCTGCCTGGAGAGTTCTGGATTCAGTAAACTTGTTGGTTTTCCCACCCATATCAAAGACCATACACTGGGCTTGATTTGTTGTTCTGGACTTACCCCTGTTGACTTTAAAGCCGATGAACTCTCCTTTTCTGATCATTTTTTTTCTTATCATTCCATATTCCACTGTGTGTTTTATCAACCAAGACAGCCCGGCTCATCTCATTCAGGAGCATTAAATACATTAATTTGGATTCCCTTTCCATTAGTATTACCTCCACTCTTATGCCTGATCATCTTCTGACTCCTGATCAACGGCTCAATATAATAATCACTTAACCCATATTCTCAACTCCCTTGCTTTTGTTAAAATATGATCTGTGACTTTTACTCATTCTGCCCTCTGGTTTCCTCTCAACTCCGGTCCATCAAAGCCAAATGTCGTCAACTGGAACAATTCTATAAAAAAATCTCATCTTACCATCCATAAGGACATACGTCTATCAGACATGTATGTATGTATGTATGTTTTATTTATTCATTTCATTTCATCCAAACAACAAATATAATACAATTTAAAGAAAAGAAAAAAGATATACAATCACAGAAATAAAATGAAAGGCAGCAGAAGAAGAATGAATTCTTATAATATCTGCCCCTTGTCCCCAAAATATATTCCAAACAAAATTACTATACAAAAGCAAGATGAATTAATAAAAAAATAAAAAGATAAAAAATAAAAAAAAACTTAGCTAAAATATAAGATCAACTGTAAACAATTTTTATGAACTCACATTATACTTAATATTTTTTTTTAAAACAAATTTTTTTTCATCCTCTTGAATATGTACATAGTTTTGGCATTTTTAATATCAACCTCCAGATCATTCCACAATCTAACACCCTGAGATCTAGTGGATCACATCTTCAGACTGGTGCGACACCACGGCTTCACAAACATCTCCATCCCCTTAAGATAATAATTACTTTCTCTTTTAACAAATTTCCCTTGAATGTTAGTAGGTCGTATGTTTTTGTTGGCCCCATACATAAACAGTAAGATATTGTAATCAACCAAGTCATAAAATTTTTATATCTTTAGCTGATGAAACAATATATTTGACGGATGGTTATAATCTTTTCTGGTAATAATTCTTATGGCTCTTTTCTGTAAAATAAAAATTGGATTTGTAATTGTTTTACATGCTTTACCCCAGACTTCAATACAGTAAATTAAATGTGGAACAATAATGGCATTATACAATAGAAACATTGCTTTATCATTGAATAACTCTCTAACTTTGTACATTACTGCAATCGATTTAGCTATTTTAGTTCTTAAGTTTTTTACATGAGATCTCCATGTTAGTTTTTCATCAATGATGACACCCAGAAATTTCACCTCATTGACTCTATTAATTTCAATTCCATCGACTCTAAATGGAGTATCAAGCACTTTCTTGTTGTTACTAAAAATCATATAATTTGTTTTATCTACATTTAAAGATAATTTGTTTAGTTGAAACCAATTTTGTATTTTCACAAATTCTGTTTGTGCCATCTTCAGCATTTGCACAACATTTTCACCCACACAAAGAAAAGTAGTATCATCTGCAAACAAAATACATTTAAAAAATCCAGACACATTTACCAGGTCATTCACATATAAAATAAATAGCTTAGGTCCAAGTATAGAGCCTTGAGGCACTCCACATGTAATATTACAGAATTCAGATTTTACATCATTTATTTGAACAAATTGTTTCCTTTTTTCTAGATAACTAGATACCCACTGCAATGCATGCCCTCTAATACCATATTTATTTAGTTTTTTGAGAAGAATATTGTGATCAATAGTATCAAATGCTTTCTTTAGATCAACATAAATACTAATACAATATATTTTTTGATCCACAGCAGTCGTTATCTGTTCCATTAAATCCATGAGAGCCATTGACGTAGAATTTTTAGGTCTAAACCCATATTGACTATTACTTAATATATTTTGCTTATTGATAAATTCATCTAATCTAGTGACAAATAATTTCTCTAAAATCTTCGAAAATTGTGGCAACAACGATATTGGCCTGTAATTATTAAACACACGTTTCTCTCCACTCTTATATAATGGTATTACCTTGGCTATTTTCATGTTATTTGGAAATACCCCTGTTGAAAATGATAAATTGCATATATATGTAAATGGCTCAATAACATAACTCATAATATTCTTTACAAGCATCATATCCATGTCCATCCAGTCTTTTGATTTTTTATCTGCAAGATGTTTTACGATAGTCATAAATTCTTCTTTGTCAGTTCCCCCAAGAAAAAAACTGTTTGTGTAATCCGTAACCGTATGGTTTACATTTTTATCTATATTTGGGATTTTTGCTGCCAGACTTGGGCCAATATTCACAAAATGTTCATTGAATCCATTTGCGATTTCATTTTGGTCATAAATGTCTTTGTCATCCTTTACAAAATATTGTGGAATGCTCGATTTTGTTTTATGATTATTCAG